TGAAAATATTATTAACAAGGGCAATATATAAAATATCTAAGAATAAACTTAGTAAGAAATGTACAAAAGTCTGTGTGGGGAGAAAAAATGACAACAGTTTCCAAGGGACATTAAAGAAAATGTGAAGATATGCTGTTTTCTTACAGGGAAGACTTACTATTGTAAAGACATTGCTTCTCCCCCAGAAAGATCCATATATTTTATGTAACCCCATCCAACTCCAAAAACATTTTGGGGGAAGAACTAACTAAATGATTATAAAAAGTACATATAGAGGAAAATATGCCCAAGAATAGCCAGGATTCTTTGGAAAAAGGAATTGTGATTGGGATTTGCTGTGCCAAAGAGTAAAGTACATCATAAAGCTATAATATTGGCACAGGAATAGCAGACAGATCATAGAAGAAAATAACAACAAAAAAATGCTAACATTGAGTAATTACTCTGTATTTACATAATTTAATTCTCATACAGCTCTATGAGGGAAGTTATAGTTTTAATCCCATTTAACAGATAGGAAAACTTGGCTAGGGTTGTAGAAGTGCATGGAAGAACAGGAATTGAAACCCATGCTTGGCTGGGCACAGTGGCTCACACCTGTTATCCTAGCACTCTGGGTGGCCAAGGTGGGAGGAATGAGGCAGGAGGATCACTTGAGTTCAGGAATTCGAGACCAGCCTGAGCAAGAGTGAGACCCCGTCTCTACTAAAAATAGAAAAGATTAGCCAGGCATGGTGGCTCACAGCAACTCGGGAGGCTGAGGCAGGAGGATCGCTTGAGCCCAGGAGTTCGAGGTTGCTGTGAGCTAGGCTGATGCCACGGCAGTCTAGCCCAGGCGACAGAGCAAGACTGTCTCAAAAATAAATGAATGAATGAATCAATCAATCAAACCAACCCATGCTGATTCCCAGATGCAGTGTTCTTAATTAGCAAAGTTTGCTTGTAGGAATTTACCCTTAAATTATCAAGGCTATGTAAAAATATTTAGATACAAGACTGTTATTCACAGCATTGAGATAAGAGCCAGAAGTTAGAACTAGCCTGAATAAAAAGCAGCAGGGTGTTGGTGAAATGCAGTATGGCATACTTTTACAATTACAGATGTATATGTGGCTATTTAAAATTATTACTATATAGAAGAATATTTAGTGACACAATAATGAGGATAATTACATTAAAAAGTAGATTACAAGACAGTATGATCCCATTTAAAATATGGGTATGCAGAGAAAAAAAGATGGGATTTATACCAAATATGATTTTGAGTGATAAAATTATGCATGATTTATGTTTTCTTGTTCGTTTATCAATGTTTCTTGATTTTTTTCCACAGTGAAATGTGTTTATTCTCTAAAGAAAAATAATTTCAATGAGATTATTATGCTGTTCTTTTTTTTTTTTCTTTTAAACAAGGTGTGTGAGGTGGTTGTCATCCTTCATTGTTCTTCCTGCCAGCTGGCTTAGCTGCTGCTCTGGGCTCCTGTAGTCCCCTGTGTTTCCCTTGATCCCAGTGTTTTGTCACAGTGATCATAGTATATTGTCATCATATGCTTTTCTTATTTTTTTAAGTTTTTTTAATTTGTTATCGGCTTTTCTAACTCCTGCTTCCTTATCCCTGGTGCCTAGAGCAATGTCTGGCTCAATAAATGTTTCAGGAAGGAAAGATAAAGCAGAGTGGGAATGAAAGGGAAAGGAAAAGAGGAAGGAAGGGAGAAAGGAAGCCCTCTGCAGAGATATAGCTCTGAGGTTATGTTTTCTGTGTTTAGGCCAGCTTCATTCCCCAAGATCCAAAAGTAAGTGATGAATAGTATATTACTCGTACAGAAAATGGGTTGAGCAAAAAAAAAAAAAAGCGATTGATTTCAGAACCACTTGTCTTTAAGTTCATATTTCAAGGACCCAAAAATATAGGTAGAGGAACTTACCTGCATAACAGGGGGGAGGGGGGTTGGACATTCTTCCATTTAGAGAAGCCAGAGTAAATCTTTTCCAAATTATTGAGACATGTGAAGGCTATTTTGGCAGAAAATGCTGCCATGCATCCCCCATCCTCACTTCCCTTTCACCAGTTGTATTGAAATGCCATTTTAAATAAAAGATTTGGCTGATGTGGGAGTTGTTGCCTTTCAGACTTTTCTGGGTAAAAGATCCTAAGGGACCTTGGCGACTGCCCTCTGTTCCAGCTGCTCACATCATGAATCTAGTTAAAATTAATTTGCTTGGAGAGAAAGCTAGAGAAATGGACTTACTGTAACTCCCAGTATTATTTTTCTTTCCAGGAAGGGGAACAGTTTGTGAAGAAAATTGGTGGTATTTTTGCCTTCAAGGTGAAGGATGGCCCTGGGGGTAAAGAAGCCACCTGGGTGGTAGATGTGAAGAACGGCAAAGGATCAGTGCTTCCTAACTCAGGTTAGTGCAGTAGTGACTTCATTTATAGGAGTGCTGACAAGTTTACAAAGGCTGTCAGCTGGGAAAATGGGGGTCTGCTTTGCTTTTCCCAAAGAGGCTGGCTTTAGAGGTGCAGGACCTTGTTAAAGAACAAGTGAATCCCAGGGAGCAGGAGTAGGTCAAAGCCACCTCCTCCCAGAGATTTGGAGGCTCCATCACAGAGTCGCCAATCTTAGGCTTTGGAATTAGACAAACTGGGGTAGGGGTCCTGGCCCTGCCACTCATAGATTCTGACCTTGAACAAGTTATGTAACTTCTCTGAGACTTGACTTTCTCATCTGTAAATGGACTTATAAATGGTACCTATTTCATAGGGTTGATGTGAGCATCAAGAGAATTCTTTCTAATTAACCTGGAAAGCACACAGTCCGGTGCATGGTTATATGGCCTCAGAAGACCTATCTGTACTCACTATTGCCAGATCCTCTCATTCAAATCTGTCTTGAACCCACTTCAGTCAGCTTTTGTCTTCATCACTATCCCCAAACAGTTCTTGTCAAGGTCGCCAGTAACTACCACATTGCTAAATTCAATGCTTAATTCCCAGCCCTCATAATATTAGACTTCCAGGTTTTCTAAACATTGGAGTGTTCCAAGGCTCAGTTATATATGCATTCACTCCCTGGCGATCTCATCTAGTCTCATGATTTAAAAACAGTCTCAAGGCTGGGTGCGGTGGCTCACTCCTGTAATCCTAGCACTCTGGGAGGCCGAGGCAGGTGGATCGTTTGAGTTCATGAGTTCGAGACCAGCCTGAGCAAGAGTGAGACCCCGTCTCTACTAAAAATAGAAAGAAATTGGCTGGACAACTAAAAATATATAGGAAAAATTAGCCGGACATGGTGGCACATGCCTGTAATCCCAGCTACTCGGGAGGCTGAGGCAGGAGGATCGCTTGAGCCCAGGAGTTTGAGGTTGCTGTGAGCTAGGCTGACGCCACGGCACTCTAGCCCGGGCAAAAAGAGTGAGACTGTGTTTCAAAAAAAAAAAAAATGTCTCAGATTTATGTCTTCTGAACTCCAAAGTGTATATCTAGCTGCTTAATTGACAAGTTTACTTGGCATCTAGTAGATATCTCAAAGCTAACATGCGTGAAACTGAACCCGTCCTTCTCCCCGTAGGTATGTACTCCTCCCGTTGTCTTTCCCTTCTTGGTAAATTCCTCCTGTGGCCTACCAGTTCCTCAGTCCAAAAACCTCGAAGTCATCCTTGGGTGCTCTTTTTCCTCACACTCCACAGTCATCCTGTCTTCTATCACCACCACCCTGGTCTAGGCCAGCATCATTTTTTTGCCCTCTTCTTTGTCCCCTGCAGGTTCTTCTCCACACACCAGCCAGAGTGATCATTTTAAAACTTAAGTCAGATTGTTACCTTCTCTGCTCAAAACCCTCTTCCAATGGCTTTCAGCTTACTCCACGTGAAAGCAGAGCTCCTACAATGGCACAGCGTGATCTGGCCCCAGTTTCCTCTGTCCTACTGCTTTCTCTCTCACTTTGTTCAAGTAACACTGCCTCCTTGCTGTTGCTTGGATGAACGTGGGGTGCTCTCGGTTTGGAGGCTTTCTACTCTCTGTTCCCTCTGCCTGGAATTGTCTTCCCCCAGATATCCTCGTGGCTTGTTCCCCCATTTTCTTTGGATCTTTGCCCAAATGCCACCTTCTCAGTAAGCCCTTCCCTAACCACCCTTTTTAAAATCAAATCCCCATTACCATTCCCTATCATTGTTTTCTGCCTTATTTTTCTTATCACTTATCACTATCTGATATACCATGTAATGTTTTATTTATCTGCTTATTGTCCACACCCCTGCTTGAATCATAAGCTCTATGAAGGAAGACCTTTTTGCCTGTGAGGTTCTCTGCTGAATTCCCAGTGCCTAGAATAGTACCTGACATAGGCCTTCAAAAAATAAGTAATTTAGAAACGAACAACGGAATGAACAAATGGCACTCAGTAAGCATTCAGTATTTACCAATTAACAATACAATATAGCTAAGCTGTATTGTTAAATTTCTCTTGTTGGAGAGAGCATGGTATAATTTAGAAATATGATAGATGGGGACCAGATTTCGGAGGGTTTAAAATACCATGATAAGAACTTTGAAAGTTATATGGGGTATAATCAATCCATTAAAGCTTTGTAAGTGGAAAGTGAAAATCAAAGCTGTATTTTAGAGAATGAAGCTGGTGCCTTAGACCTGATAAATTGCAAAGGGAGAGGTCGGAGGCAGAGAGAGCCATTAGGAGGATGGATGTTGCCACTAAGTGAGCAGAGAGGATGGCCAGCCTAAGTGTTGGCAGTGAGAGAAGTGAGTGTTGTTAGAGTAGATGCTGGAGATCTTGGAGGTGAAGACGGTGGGACCGGGGAGCTGTGGAAGGAGGCGGCCTGTCAAAGGTGGTGGAGTTTCATTATTGACACACTCCTGAGGGAGGTCCTGCAGGAGAGGATGATATCAGAAGCACAGGTACAAGGAAGGTTAGCCTTAGTAAGGAGGCATGGGTGGATATTTCTTTCTCTGAAAGGGTAGTTAAATATTCAGGGGCATTTTGAGGGGAGAAGAGGTTGGCAGAACTCCTGGAATAGAGTGTAGAGCTTGGAGGCAGGAGAAGTAAGGAGTGCTGTGATGCACAGTTCAATAAGGAATCAGTGAGAAGTCAATGAAGGAAAAGCTGAGCAAGGGTAAGGGCATCCATCTGGTGTGGGTAGCATGGCTTTGTTGTGGAAGGTTCCTGAATTATACAGAGTCTTTTCTTTTTCCTTCCCAAATGAATGGGCAGAAAAATGACTATAACTTTGTATTCTATACGCTCTAAGGTGCCTGCCACTCTAAGGTGGTATGGGAAGAAAAGCTAAAAGCTTCATCTAGATTCCAGCTTTTAGAAATGGAGCTTTGGGAATTATAGTAGTGCCAATTTTTTTTAATGACTAAAAGTTAAAGGTTACTTTCATATTCTGATATGCCCAGACAGATGTTAAGGTGATTTTTTAAAAAAATTTCTCCTTTTCCTCCTGTTTTGTTGTTGTTGATTATTTGTTTTGTCACAAAAGATAATTTGCTTATGGAAAGCTGTTGAATGATTTTTAAAAAGCTGTGTTTCCTCCAGATAGGCTCTTGCTGTGTGCTTCCCCACCTCAGGTGCCCCATCCCAGATCTGAAGGGACCTTACCCTGGGGCAGGGCAATTTCTGCTGAAACTGACACTTGTTGGCAGCCAGGAGTGGTGCTGAAATGTGGACTTACCCAGTAAAAGCCACCACTGGAAATTGCCAGCTCCTTTTACATCAACTAACAAATGGCCATTTGTTAGAGATTAGCTATGTTAAAGCATTAATAACCTGTCCCGGTTTGAACTGGCATCTTAAGAATTGCTAGTCCTTTTGGTGTGTACATAGTGTTAGGTTTACTTATTGTTAATGAAGTAAGATTTACTTCAGTATATTTCATTTGCTTGTATTCTGAGAGCTTGATAATGATTATATAGATGATTACATTACATTAAGGACTTTTAGATTTTGTGCATTTTTGGTCATCTTTTCTCGCTGCCTGGGTACCTCTTAGTATCTTCTCCATGGGTTCTGCCCCTCCCTCCTTTTCTTTGAAACGACTCACATAGCATATCTCCAGGAAGCCACCTTAGATTAATCTAACATGATATATTATTCCTTCATTCCTTTATTCTGCTCTCCCAGCACTAGAGTTCTCAACTATCCCTTTTATTAAGCAACATGATACAGAAAGCCTCAGGGTCTCCCATCCCCAAGGTACAGTAGAAAGAACATAGCCTTTCCACAGAGCTGTTGTGGGGATTAAATGAGATAAGCTATATAAAACACCTAGATTATAAGTGCTCGGTAAATCATTGCTTCTTCCCCAACCCATATATTAAACATTAGTTTTGCTTGGACACATAGACTTGTCTAAGCTTCTCAAAAGGACTTCAGGAACTAGGAAAGAATCTGGGATTCATCAGATGCCGATGATTGGTGAAGGCCCATAAATGTTTGCATTCTTCCTATAACAAGAGGAAGCAGTAAAGCATAATTGGAAGTATTAGCTTTGGCAACAGGAATCTGCGTTCAGACCTAACTCAGCCACTTACTAGCTCTGACCTTGGGCAAATTATTTGAACTCTCTGACCTCATGGGATTGTTATAAAGTTCAAGGGAGACCAGGTGTGTGAAGTGCTCAGCACAGTGAGAGCTCAGTAAATGCTGATATTACAGTAGCAGCAATAGTAGATTTTACTTCCTCAAGTCACTGTCCAATGACTAAGAGTCGTTTATTGGAATATTAGTAATCAGGTCCAACTATCTCAGTTTGTTAGTTTTTTTCTCTTTGCTCTTTGGTGTTCTGTATCTGCAATAGAACTGGATTTTCTAGACTATAAATTTCTTCATTTTTAAGGATTCAGACCTTTTTTTCTGGTAATAAGAGAAAATTTTGTTAGCAGCTAAGTTAGAATGACCATTGAATCTTAGTCTTTTTAGGGACGATTCCCTGAATTATAAGAGACATAATAAAAACCTTTTTCCTATCTCATTTTAGTTATTTAATAATATGCTATGCTTTAACAGTTTACCCTTATCTCTTCTATTAAGGCACAGGTTATCTGATTAGCTATTAGGCCTTACTTTGATCATCTTTTGAGCTCCACACAATCTATGCATTTATTCAACAGGTATTTATTGATTGCCCTTTGTGTGTCAAACCCTCTTCAAGGGCCTGCAGATATAGCAGTGAACAAGACTGACAACAAGAGCCCTTGTCTATTGGGCACAGACAGACAGAAAACACATATGTAAATAAGTAAGGTAGTTTCAGATAAGTGCAGTGGATGAAAATAGAAAATGACTTGGTTTCTAGGGAGAGGCCAACTTTAATTTGAATTATTTCCTAATGAGAGGAGGAACCAACTGTGAGAGTGCTGTTGTTATATTTATTGATTGCCTAAAACATCAACTGCTGGAAAACTGTGATTTCTTGGTGAATTTTTCCTTTTGTACTTGAAACTTTTCATTTGCCCAATGTAGACATGGCTAATTTACCAATGAGATATCAGTCTTTGTTGTCCAGTCTTTTTCCTATCATTTTACTTTGATGATACTAAAAGTAATATTTTAAAACTTTGTGTTATTTAAATATACTTGATGGAAAAAATTAGAAATGATAGAGAAATAAAATGAAAAAAATCACTCTCCCGTAATTCTACCACCTAGGTCAGGAGTTGGCAAAGTATGGCTTATGGACCATATCTAACCCACCAACTGTTTTTTTTTTGTTTGTTTGTTTGTTTGTTTTTTTGAGACAGAGTCTCACTCTGTTGCCCGGGCTAGAGTACCATGGGGTCAGCCTAGCTCACAGCAACCTCAAACTCCTGGGCTTAAGCGATCCTCCTGCCTCAGCCTCCTGGGTAGCTGGGCCTACAGGCACGCGCCACTGTGCCCAGCTAATTTTTTCTATTTTTAGTTGTTCGGCTAATTTCTTTCTATTTTTTTAGTAGAGATGGGGTCTTGCTCTTGCTCAGGCTGGTCTCGAACTCCTGAGCTCAAGCTATCCTCCCGCCTTGGCCTCCCAGAGTGCTAGGATTACAGGCGTGAGCCACCGCGCCCAGCCTCCACCACCTGTTTTTTTGTTTTGGTTTTTGCAAAATTTTTTTGAAGTCTAGCCCATAGTAAAGGGCATAAATCTGAAGTGTACCACTTGATCAATGTTTACAAATGTTGCCAGCACTCCAGAAGCCCCCCTCATGCCCCTCCCATCACTATCCATCCCCAAAAGGAACCCCTATTCCAATTCCTGTTGCCATAGATTGATTTTATTTATTCTGGAAATTCATACAAATAGAACCATTGGACAATAAAATTTACTCTTTCTTTAGATCTGGCTTCTTTTGTTCAGCAGTGTAAGATTCATTCATATTGTTGCATGTGGCAATAGTTGGTTTCTACTATGTGAATACCCCAGAATTTATTGATTATGTGGTTGATGTATCTTTGCATTGTTTCCATTTTAGGGCCTTACAAATAAGCTGTCATAAATGTTCTTATACATGTCTTTTAGTGGACATTTCTATTGTACTCATTTCCATTGGGTACATACCCAGTGTGGAAATTCTAGGTCATAAGGTGCAGTATAGCCAAACAGGTTTTTGATACGGATGTACTATTTTACATTCCCTTCCACATTGTATGAGAGTTTCAACTGTGCCACATTTTTGACAGTATTTGGTACTGTCCGTTTTTAGTAAGTCAGGTTTATTGAGGTACAATTTATATAAAATAAAATATGCCTTTTTTAGATGTGCAGTTCTATGAATTTAGACAAATGCATACAGTTGTGTAACCACCACCAAAAATCAAGACATTGACTATTTCTGTCACCCCAGAAAAGTGTCCTTATGTCTCTTTGTAGTCAAGCTCCTCCTCCCACCCTCAGGCCCTGACAACCACTAATTTGATTTCTGTCCCTGTAGTTTTGCCTTCCCAGAAGGTCATACAAATAGAATCATACAACATGTAGCTTTTTGAGCCTGCTTCTTTCACTGAGAAGATGTTGTTGCATGTGTCATCAGTAGTTGGTTCTTTTTTGTTGCTGAGTGGTTTATCCCTTCACCAGTTGATGCACATTTGAGATGTTTTGAGCTTTGGGCAATTATGAATAAAGTTACTATGAGCATTCACATACATATGTGGACATATGTTTTCATTTTTCTTGGGTAGATACCTAAGAGTGGGATTGCTAGTTCATATGGTATATGTGTGTTTAGCTATTTAAAGAAAATTTTTTTTTGGTATTTTTTGTAGAGACAGAATCTCACTATGTTGCCCAGGCTGGTCTTGAACTCCTGGCCTCAGCAATCCTCCTGCCTTGGCCTCCCAAAGTGCTAGGATTACAGGTGTGAGCCACCACGTCCGGCCTGTGTTTAGCTTTACATGAGACTTCTAAACTGTTTTCCAAAGTGGCTACACCATTTCACAGTCCCTCTAGTGTTCTGTTGACCTCTCAGTTGCTCTGCATCCTCAATAATACTGCATGTTGTCTTTTTCTTCTTTTTTTAAAATCCAGCCATTCATTCTAGTAGGTATGTGGCATCTCATCATGGTTTTATTTGCGTTTTCTGATGACTAAAGAAGTTAAGCAGTGTTTCATGTGTTTTGGGACCATTTGGAGATCTTCTTTACGGCTGTTAATAGCAGCTAGCTTATTCAAAGCCAGGAGCACAGTGAGAGTGAGTCTGCTAGCAAGGTGTATATAACGTAACAAAATCTCAGGAACGACATACCATTACTTTGGCTATATTCTGTTAGCTAGAAGCAAATCACAGTCCTGCTCACACTGAGAGAAGGGAGTTATTTAAAGTCACGTACACCAGGGGTCAGGGTCATGGGTGTCACCTTAGAATCTGTTTGCCACAATAACTATTAGTAATATATTGGTGTCTAAGTTTACAGATTTTTTTCTATACTTACATAATTGAATATTTTTAAGCAAAAATGGAATCATACAGTTTATTTTGTAACTGGCTTATATAACAATATCATAAACAATATAGCATGAATATTTTTCATGTCAGTGTAGATCCACATCATTTCTTATAATGGCTACATTGTATCTCATTCTGTGAATATAGCATAATTTATTTAATCAGTTCCCCTTGATTAAATGTCAAGGTTGCTTATTGTCTTTGTCACGTTTAACCAGGCTGCCATGAGTGTATGTGAGTGCCCGTTGCCCCACAGTGCCCAGTACTGCGTGTGATTCTGTTACAGTCAGTGGCTCTTGACCAAAATGTCTATGTGAAACTGAACATTCCCTCTTTTCTCTTTCCTTCTGCTATGTATCTCTGTTTTAGATAAGAAGGCTGACTGCACAATCACAATGGCCGACTCCGACCTACTGGCTTTAATGACTGGTAAAATGAATCCTCAGTCGGTAAGTATGATGGAACTTACATCCTGCTAGTACGTGGGTCTTTTAGCTTTTCTACTTCATCTGCTGCCTCATCCTCTAAAGTGCACCATGATGAGACCCACAAAACTCAGTGTTCACCAAAATGTTCACCTAACAAATGGCAGACATTTGTGGAGAAAGCTCTGTGCCAGACACTGTCCTGTGTGCTGGAGTGCCCAGATGAACAAGAAATAGTTCCCACACTCAAGGCATCCGCAGTTTGATACGAGACAGATCTGTAAAAGAGTAAGTGCAGCCAAGGATTGAAGGTGCCACACCTGGCTTGTGGTCAGTGAAGGATGGAGGAAGAAGCAGCCCTGTCTCCCCAGGCCATCAGGGAGAGCCTCACGGAGGAAGCAGCACTTGAGCTGAGTGCTCCAGGTGGAGGGGGGTGGTGTGAACAAAGGCACGACCTTTTACATTCTGCATCCTTGCTCACGCTCTTCTTTTGGCCTAAACTGTCTTCCCTGACAAACTCCCTGTCCTTCAGAATTAGCGCAGATACTATCTGCAAGGACCTCCTTCCAAGTTGTTGGGGAGTCAGTCCCTCTTCTGAGCCACGTGCTGGACGGTCAGCTTAGCTCCTGCCGTGTTACAGCAGTCATAATGTGCCTTTCCCTTCCCCCTTTGATTGTGAGTGTCTCAAAGGATCAAACTACATCTTACTCATTTTTGTGTTCCCAGAATTTAGCACAATATGTGATGTTTTTAGGATTTCCATTAACAGTTGTTGGACTAAATTGTATTTGCCAAAATGTATTTATGCCTTGTATAGATTTTCCTGATCCCCAAATTATTGGTGTTTTCTTATACTCTTTAGTTGCACAGTGTTGAATGGACTTGATAATAGTGAGTTTTCTGTCAACTTGATATACTGAGCTTTCCATTAACAAAAAAGAAACTAAGATGTTTCTTTCCATTGTAACTTAAGTTTTTGTTTCCTCAGCCTGATTTGCTTCAGGTCTTATTCCTGTGGATCTCTGGTAATTCGCAAATTGGATAAAACAACTAAATCTGACTTCTACTTGCATTCCTTTTTACAATGCTTTCCCTAAGTAACTAAACATATTTCAGTGGATGCCATGACAAGTGAGAGATTTGCATCTGTGATGTTTTAGCTGAGTACACCATTGGCACTGACATTTCCACCCACTGAGCCTGCTCCAGAAATCTGGACAGAATAGAGGCCACCAGTATAGGAGCTGGCCACCATCCTCCTTCCCACCCACTGCACACACCATGCACAGCTTTGGCAGGGTGCTCAGACTTCACACATCAGCTGCCTTTGTTCTCTCAATTTATCTATATACTGCCCATTTTGGGGGGTGAGGTGTCAGCTTATTTTTCTTCAGCACCTGTTAACACCTAAAGGAATGAAAGATAAAAATGGCAGACCCTTCTATTAATGTGCTAATGGCCTTCCCTTATGTTCAGTAGAGGATTTGACTGGAAATCGTTAAATGCAGTGGAAATTCTAATTTCAGTGTTTGGCTATGGTTGAAACAAGGCAAAGTGCTCTCCAACAGAAATCACACATGAAGAATACCTAAGGGCCAGATTAAAAAGAATCCTTTTGAATTCTCTAAAGGGTGAAGATTCATGTTTTCTCTATTATTAGTAAATAAAAACTCATTTTCTCTTTTAACTTAGAAAGGGGAAAGATGGTGAGTTTCTCTTGTACTACTGGTCCATATTGTTAAATGACGTATGTTAAATATATTGTATTCTGAGACACCTGACCTTTAAGTCATCAGACAGAAGGCTTTGTGCCATATAGAAAGGAAATATTTAGTTTGTCCAGACAGGGGAGAGGGGGGAAAAAGGAATTAGTCACCCTTACCAAGAGGCTTAGAAAAAACAGCTCTGCGCATTCCCATGGACGATGAAGAAGAGCTCTTAAGTTTTTAATGTACTCGCTTAAAAAGATAAAGACTACCAGAAACTTTTTTCATCTAGCCCTTCCTTATTTTAAGAATTGAGTTAAAATGCTGAGACCATGGCAGGGAAATCATGCTATGTTCCCAATTTTTCTATTTCTCTTAAGTTTTCCTGGGATTTTGTTACATGGTAAATTTAGCAAACATCATGTGATCTAATCCCAGGCAGTTGTTAAGCGGAACAAATTGTGGCTTTGCACTTCAGATTGGTTTGATTCTTCAGTCTCAGCAGCCTGACTGTCCTCTCTAGAGACAAATCCTTTATCATGCAGACAAAAAAAAAAAAAAAGGAAGGAAGAAATTGGCGGCATCTTATCCACATTGTATTGAATCCCGAGTTTCTAGGTGTGTTTTTTGTGTGTGCTTTTTCTCCCAGCAGCCTACTGAAAATTTCAGTTCATACTTGCAACCCACATGTAATGTTTTTAAAAAAAATCAGTCTAGTATGAACTGATTTTGCCTAATATTTGGAAAATATACCACCTTTGAGGAAGACAGGTAAAAAAACAAGACTCAATTTCTAAGAGAAGACATTGGGAAAGATGTTCCTTACGTGCTCCTTTCTATTGTTCTATGTAAAGCATGCAGTTACAGATTCTTCCATTTGAAGAATCTGGTTCTAAATCTATTCTAGAAAGCCAAGTTTCATATTTCGGAGAAAGGTAAGTGACCTGGATAAATAAAGGATCTCAGGGCTGAATAGTCTAGAAACATGAGCAATCTCATAACAAAAAACAATAAGTAACGAGTTTTCTTTTTTCTTATTCACAGGCCTTCTTTCAAGGCAAATTGAAAATCACTGGAAATATGGGTCTGGCTATGAAGTTACAAAATCTTCAGCTTCAGCCAGGCAAAGCTAAGCTGTGAAGAACTCCCTTTGACTACTTTTGAAAATCAAGATGAAATATATAGATATATATCCATATATTTCATTGTCAGAATTTAGACTGAGATTACACATTGGCAAATTGTGTGAGATAGATTTGTTTTTAAATGGGTATGACCAATCCTGTTTTTCCTATGCTCTGGGTGAATAGAGCCTGATGGTGCACTACTACTTTTCTGAATTGCATACAACTGTGCATTACAAAGTTAATATGGTAATTATGGTTTGGGGTAAAACTGAGTTTCAGAATAAAATTAAGAACAGTAAAATCCAAAAAATTATGTAAACAAAAGCTCTTGTTTTGCTTATAAAGTATATTTAAGGATTATTCTGCTGCAGGTTCAGTTTAAGAGTTTTCCTTGGAGAGAACTAGGGAAAAAGCAATACCAATAGCCAGTCAGTAATTAGTGTTGTGCACTTAATGACCTTAATCAGTCTCTCATTAATAGTTCTTAAAATTCTGTACCAGGATTAAAAAAAAAAGAAAAAACTTTAAAATTTTGCATTTCCTGCCATCAGAAACAGTATTTTCTTCCCAAATTGAAATAAAAGAAATATGATCACAGCTTGGGGGGGAATGTGTAACTGAACACAGGCCTATTTTTAAAATTAAAATATTTTAAAATATTTTAAAAATGGGTTTCCTTCCTGAAAAATCACTGAAAAATAACGGAACAACTAAAGTTTGCTTAGAGATGCACAGTTTTTAAATTATCTCATATTTAAATTTATAAGGCTCTCAGTCTTTTGTTATAGTTTTCCTTTTTCATGTGAGTTTAATTATCTGCATTTATCTTCCTAGTTTTTCTAATACTAATGTTATTTCTTATATTCAGTAAGATATGGGATAAAATAATGCTTTTGGAAGAATGTTTAATAGAAAATTAAATAGCTCTTCCTGGTTTCCTGTGTTTTCATTGTATATGTTCTTTTTGCTCCGGATTTTCTAGACAGTGGAGAATAAAGAGAAACACTGGGGGATTTACAAACCGAATGTTATCTGGACAGTATCTGCTGGTTACTTTGACATAATCACTAGTTCTTGATTAGGGTGGCAGTGTGGTGTAGTGGGAAGAGCACTTGATTAGGAGCCAAGAGACTTGCTTCTCTTAGGCCAGTAACTGCCTGCCTGGGCCTGTTTGCTAAACTGTTAGAAAAGGGGATTTAAGTAGATGGTCCCAAAGTCCCTTCTGCTCTGATAATCCCGAGTCTCCTCAGAACCCAGCAGAACAGTTTGGGAGTTATCCAAGCGCTGCCTTTCTGTTGTTAACCTGTTTGTTACTTCCTCCAAAGGTGGTCACAGGTAAAAAGCCGGATGGTTTCATTTGTTTAGATGTTTGGAGTCCATGCTAATATAGTCAGGACTGTGGGTCTCATCCCTTAGAACACTTCGCTTTGTATGTTTTTTGTGACCAGCTGAAGAGCGTTTGGTGATAGGGCAAGAGGGTACCTTAAGCAATATAACACAGACCTATTTCGTAATCATAGTATCTTCTTACTCTGAAAAGAAAGACTTCAAGAAAAAAGTTCCAGCGAAAATCTGCTTTATCTATAGCTTGGATTGCGTCATTCTGTCCTTTCTGGTTCAGATAACAAGACATACCTGAAATAGGCTTTAGGAAGAGTGTAAAAAAACCAAAACCAAAAAAAGGAAAAACAAAAACTGGTTCTTGAGGTAGAAATATGTTCATATATGAATGTGATTTATGTGTATAATATTAATAGAAAAGCACTTAGTGATGAAATATAATAGTTTGATCCTCTCCACCCCGCCCCGTATCATGGTTTGGAGGAAAGAGATTAATAGCTCTGAGTTAAAACTGCTGTTACTAGTTGGGCTACTTGAGCAGGCTGAGCCTCAGTTGCCTGATCTATATAAAGTAGAGATATTAATATTGACCTCCTAGGATTATGAGAATCTAGAGAGGTAACATATAGAAAGTACCAAAAACAGTGCTAGGTACCTGGTAGTCATTCCATAAATATGAGTTCCCTTACTGTCCTCACCATTCCCACCACCGCTTGCTCATGTGATATGTCTGTAGTGTATGTCCTACTTTTGGAGTCTTTTCTCATTTGTTCATTTGTTTAACAAGTATTTACTGAATGCCTACCATCTATAGAATACTACTCTATGGAAGGAAGGTATAGTGCTAGGCCCTGGAGGTAGTGGTGAGCTCATGTTCTCGTGGTGCTTACAGTCTAATGGGAGAGCCCATCAGAAAGATGAATAATTATTATAGACTGTGAAGTACCATGCAGGAAATGGTCAGGGTGCTTGTGGACAGTCACAGTGAGGGGCTTTTGATAAAACAGTTCAGTGAGACATCCCTGGGGAAGTAATTTTTAAGTTGAGGTCTAAAGGTTGAAAAGCAGCAAACCATGCAAAGAACTTTGCATGGAAAGGTAGAAACAGGCTTGGCTTGTTCCACAAACTGCAAGGGGGCGAGTGTGAGTGGAATGTAGTGAGCAGAAAGGTCAGGCCCAGGATGAGAGTAGATAGGTACTCAGGAGCCGGTTATGTTGGAATTTTTTCACTATGGTTAGGCATTTGTATTTCATTCTTAGTGCAGTCAGGAGCTGTTGACATTATAGCTTTACATATGTTTATTTCTCACTCAGACTGCATATCTGTCTTGCCATGATATTCTAAGTCTGGAGCCCAGGCTAATGGAGTAGGTGCTATCTAGAATATCATGCTCATTACGGCAGAGGAAGAGAAAAGGGTGAAGTACACATTGGCTCTTAAAGCTTCTGCCCAAAAGTGATAACATATCACTTTTGCTCCATTTCATTATCCAGAAAAAGTCACGTGGCCCACCTAAGGACATGCGAAGGAGAGAGTGAAGTTGGAATATTTGTAAACAGAAGGGATGACCACCACAGAAGGGCTGTAAGCAGGGGAATTAAATGATTTAAACTATCACTGTGGCTGCTAATGTACATTCAATGTACTCATGGCAGATGCTGGATGTACAGGTGCAAGAATATGGTGTCTGGGAGTAGGGTGGTGGAGGTAGATACGGGAAAATAGGCAGAGGTACAGCTGACAGAACTTGCTAACAGGATGTAAATACAAGAATGACTTCGAGTGACTGGCCAGTTGATTCATTGGTAGGTCAGACTGGAGTGACAGTGGGACAAGCAGGTTTCAAGGGGAGTGGTTGAAATAAATTCCACTTTTGAACTTGTTAACTTGGAGATGCCTGTGAGGTTTCCAAGTGGAGATAGTAAGGAGACAGTTGGATTTACCAGACTGGAGCTCAGAGGTGAGGTCAGCTTGGAGATGCACATTTGGAAGTCATGAACATACAGGCTGGGTTATATTTAAAGGTCAAGGAATGGATGATATTACCTGGGGTGGGGGAAAGGAGAGTTGGGGTAAGGCTTGAGGAACTTCAGCTTTTTAGAGGCCTGGTAGAGGAGGAGGAAGGGCCAGAGAAGTGGAGGGAAACTCCAAGAAGAGATTATAGCCCCAAAGTCAAGTAGGATGATGTCTGAAAAGTGTATTAAATTTGTCAATGTGAAAGTCATTGGGGACCACTGCAAAATCAGTTTCAGTGGAGTAGTAGGGATAAAAAGCTAGATTGGAACTGGTTTCATAAAGTTCTATGAATAATAAGAATGAAAGAGTTCCATTTGGTAGTGACATGCTGATTTCCAAGTGATTAATACAGAGCAAGCACATTCGCTAATAGTTTTAGTTCTAAGCTAGGTCATCTTGCACATGCTATTCCCTGTCCCTTTCTCACCACTGTCTCCCCCTCTCCTCATTCCAGTTGGCAAATTCCTCTTTATCTTTAGACCTACTCAGGTGCCTTTGCCTTCAGGAAGCTGTCCCTGTTTGCCAGGGACTTCGTAGTAAGTTGCTTCTGTCTCCCACCAAACAGAGAGCTCATTAAGGGCGAGTACTGCCTCTCGTGCATCCATTTTGATACCCCAGTACAGTCTTGGCTTATGTTGTTAAATGAATGAAGGAGATAAGATGAATAACAATTTTACATTCACAGAGCATTTCTGAGGATGGGAGCCCAGTCACAGAATTGCATTCTCTATTACAAAGACCTTTTTGTAGCTCTGATGGTGAAAGAGAACATTAAAAATTCTCCCTTAGCCTGACTTATCCTGATCTTTCTTTGAAAATATTTGCATCTTCCCTTAACACTCTCTTTCAACTTCAGACTGAAGCAGCTTGAAGTAGTAGGAAAAATCAGTTTATTAGTGGTCTTACTACATTCTTTTAAAAAAAACGAAGTAGCCTAGTGGGTTCTTTGAGCATTAAAATCATTAGTGTTGTTGTCGTAGTTGTCCAGATAAATTCATACTCCTAGATTCCTATAATCCTTGTTGAATTGGTAGAGACACGGTAACAGAGAGCATGATTAGGATGTCAAGTCCACATGGAAGTAGAAGTATGCAGAAGAGTCACTGAGGTATGGTCAGAAGAATCTCAGATCAAGACTTAGATCAGGTCCTGTCTCTGCCACCTGGAAGCTGAGTTAGGGTAAGGCATTTAAGCCTCACCAGCCTTTAGTTGTTTCTTCTGCAGAAGGGGGACACTGTTAATTTTTTTTTTGACAGTACTCTCATTAGACTATCCACATCTTGAATGTAGAAACTCTGTTACTCATCTCTGTCTCTATATTAATGCAACATCCACCAGAGTAAGCATCAGTAACCACTTCTTGAACAAATGAGGGTTAGACAATGATCATTAAAGTTCTTTTAAAATTATAAAACTCTTTATGAAAGTTTCAATCACATATAAATATAAGTTCCTTCTGTTTTCCCCAATTATGTGAACTTAGGAAAAAAATATGATATTAAATCCTACAGTTAACAGCTTTATCTTCTGAAACTTTAGCAGTCTCAGAAAATAATACATGTAAAGCAATCTGGGATAGTGGTAAAATGTTGGGGCCTATTAGACATGGGTTTTGGTTCTCTCTGTGGCACTTACACAGCTTTGGGACCTTGAGCTAATAATGAGGAAGGACTCAGCCTGTTTCTCCCTCTGTAAAAAAAGGGAATAATTGGCCAGGGACAATTGTTCACTGGAGCCTGTAATCCCAGCACTTTGGGAGGCTGAGGCAGGAGGATCGCTTGAGCCCAGGGGTTTGAGGCTGCAGTGAGCTACGATCCCACCACTGCACTTCAGCCTCAGCAACAGACTGAGACCCTCTTACCAAAATAATAATAACAATAATAATAATGCTTACCTTGCTGGTTGTTATAAGGATTAGCAATTATAGCTGTAAAGTGTCAAGCACATAGTAGG